GTCAGGGCAACTGCTGAAGGAGGAATTCAGAGTAAAGAGACAGTTTATAGATAATTGGCCTACTTATTCATATTATTCTGCTGAAGATGTCTCAGTAGCTCTGGTTTCAGAGTAAAATTCAGCGCAGGGCATAACAAGGCCTTCTAGTCTGGTTTCCTGCTGCTTTGTTTTGTGGCTCTGCTGCAGTTATCCGGGTCTCCTTGCCATTTCTGGAACCTATCTGGACACCATGAACTTAAAGCCTTTGCCTTAGCTGCTGCTTCTTGGGAAGCCCCTTTCCTTCCGTGCCCGAGATGGGTTTCGTACTTCCTCCAGGAGACGCTGGCTTTTCAGAGAGGGATGCCCCTGGACCACCTGGTCACTTCTATAAGTGCACCCACACTCAACTTTCTGCACAGTCATTTGTACTGTTTATTATGTCTGTCTCCTCCCACTGTGATGTCTGGCACTGGGAGGATTCAAAGGGCAGGGCTCTGTTACCCAAATAACTAGAACAGTGCCTGGGTGTGTTGCAGGTACTTAGTAAGCACCGGGTATCATAGCCGACTGACATTATTCACCTTAATGAAAGGTGAGGTTCTGCCTCAGCAAAGCAGCTCCTTATACAAATATTCTGTGTGTGTCTGTGTTCACAAGTGTGCACCCACATATGCATGTGGTGTGTGTGTGTGTGTGAGTGAGTGTGAGTGTGAGTGCGCACTCGGAAGCCAGATTAGTATCAGCTTCTTCCTTGACCACACATCTTCAGTTTTTGTTTACTGAGGCTGGGTCTCACTGAATCCAGAGCCTTCTGTTTGGTTTGCTAGCTGCCCACCTTGTCCGAGGACCTCGTGTTTGCACTGGGCTGCCATGCCCTTCTGGCAGTTTTGTGGTTGCTGGGGATCCATACTCTGGTCCTCAAGCTTACATAACAGCCGTCACCTTCCCAGCTTGAACAAAGTAGTACTGAGTAATTGTTCAGAATAACCACACTAATACTGTATCTATCTTTTATTCTGTAGGCTGTTTTTATTCTTTGGGTTGGTTAAATTGAATATAGGTGTATTTTGGGAGCTTTTGTACTCTCTAAAATCAAACTGTGTTTTACTCTGTCATTTTCAGTTTCTGTGACTTTTCTGATTTTAGTGGATGACTGAGCCATCTTTTTATTTCTTAGGGTTAAATTTTGTTTCATGGGGAGTTAACGCGTTCTGTTTTCCTTTAGGTGCTGAATGTGGAGTGAACGCAGATGTGGAGAAGCATCTTGAATTGGGGAAGAAATTACTGGCAGCTGGACAGCTGGCTGATGCTCTCTCTCAGTTCCATGCTGCAGTAGGTTGGTATCGCAACACTAACCACTCAGTTGCTATCTTGTGAATTTTAGTCACAACTTCCATTTTGGATAACACTTCAAGCATTATTACATGTTAAATAAACCATTAGACATATTTTCAGGATTCTGGTGTTAGATTAGTGAGCACAGCGCATGGATACATTTGTATTCGCACAAGAGGTAACGAGGAGGCTGGAGGGGGAAGTCTCAGTGGTTAAGAGTGCCCTGCCCTTCCACAGGGCCTACGGCTTATCGCCAGCGCGCCTGCGCACGCACCCACGCTGTCAGCCTGAACCACCTGAAACCCGGCTCCTGCAGATCTGATGCGTCTGGCCTCAAGCACCTATACTCACGCGCACATACCTGCGCACACACACAGAGGCACGCGTGCATACGCTCTTTAGAAGTGGATCTGTGAAAAACAGGTCACTGAGGCTTAGTCATGTATGTATTAAGAATAACTCAAGATTTTGCCATTCTGAGAGACTCCCCAGAGACTGTAAGCTGAAGTAGCACTCCTATCCAGGAACGTAGGGAACATGATGGAAACAAGGAGAGGCAACAGGAGTGGAGGATTTCTGGCATGTGTCCAGGACAAGAGTGCATCCCTTCGTGTGCGATGGGCTCTCAAAGTCCCTTCTTATACCAGGGAAAAATACTAATCCTCTACCAGGGGCCCCCTAGGGTGCGGAGGCCTCCTTATTGACATCCATGTTCAGGGGTCTGGATCAGTCCTGTACTGGCCTCCCAGACAGCATCTGGGGTCCATGTGCTCCCCCTTGTTCAGGCCAGCTGTTTCTGCGGGTTTCACCAGCCTGGTACCTACCGCTTTGCTCTTTGTTCCTCCCTCTCTGCAACTGGGTTCCAGAGTTCAGTTCAGTGTATAGCTGTGGGTGTCTCCTCTGCTTCCATCAGCCACTGGATGAGGGCTCTAGGATGGCATATAAAGTAGTCATCAGTCTCACTATAGGGGAAGGGAATTTAGGGTAGTCTCTCCACCATTGCCTAGATTGTCAGTTCCTGTCATCCTTGTAGATCTCTGGAAATCTCCCTAGTGCCAGATCTCTCCTTGGACTATAATGGCTCCCTCTCATATGGTATCTCTCATCCTGCTCTCCTCTATTCTTCCTCCAACTCAACCTTTCTGCTCCTCCATTTCCTCCTCTCCCCTCCTCTCCTCCTCCTCTCATTCTGGCAGCTCCCTCTCCCCTACCCTCATGCTCCCAATTAGCTCAGGAGATCCTGACCCTTCCCATTCTCCAGGGTCCATGCATTTTTCCCTTAGAGTCCTTCTTGTTTGCTACTTTCTTTGGTGAAGAGGACTGTAGGTTGGTAATCCTTTGCTCTATGTCTAAAATTCATATATGAGTAAGTATACATACCATGTTTCTCTTTTTGTGACTGAGTTACCATCCCATTCTCCAGGGTCCATGCATTTTTCCCTTAGAGTCCTTCTTGTTTGCTACTTCCTTTGGTGAAGAGGATTGTAGGCTGGTAATCCTTTGTTCTATGTCTAA